GCACCCGCCTAGAAAGAAGGTGAAAGCCAATTACAGAGGGCAGAACCACTTTGTGCTACAGATTTTATTGGTTATCTAGGAAGAGGAGAAATTGGACACTAACAGGAAAGGAATAAAATCTCCTGGGCTGGCCCCAGAACCTGCTATTGGTGGAAAAACCAGAGACTCTGTGCAAAGGGTGATTCTCAGCCAGGAAAAACAGGAAGCAATCCAGTATCATTGTCAGTTATTTCAAGGAGAGGAAGAGAACAGAATGGAGTGAAGAAGAAAACATGACTCTAGTCATATAAACGTTGGTAGTGTTCTGGGGTTGGAGGATCTTTACTTTGCCCATAAATCTTAGAATGAGGAAGAATGAATGCTGTAGTCCAAGAAGTGGCACAATAGTCAGCACCACTATGGCCTCTAGTGCCCCCTCACCTAACATTCCTCTGCACAAACATCCCTGTTTGACCCCTGATAGGAAAGCAGAGAGAGGTGAGTAGTGAAGCTGCCCCAGATTCCGTGCTCCAGGTGGAGAAGGCCTCAAGAAGGTGACGGGATGAGCTAATCTGAGCTTCGTGGCCCCATTTCCAAGGATGTGATTAGTGGAGAGGCACCTGGGACCTGCTCCACTTCAGGAAACCCGGTTATGGGAACTGGTGGGGGACAGACTTTGCTCAGGACCTGAGAGAAAGTTAACCCTTTCCTATTGTCTGTATGGGAAACAGCTATTTTATTTTATTTTATTTTATTTTATTTTATTTTATTTTATTTTATTTATCTTCACCTGAGGATATTTTCCCATTGATTTTTAGAGAGAGTGGAAGAGAGAAGGAAAGACAGAGAGAAATATCAATGTGAGAGAAACACATCGATTGGTTGTCTCCTGCACGAGCCCCGACCAGGGCATGGGCGGGGGCTTTACTGGAATCAAACCCCGGACCCTTTGGTCCACAGGCTGACACTCTATTCACTGAACCAAATTAGTTAGGGTGGAAATAGCCTTTTAATAGTTCTCTAGAGTGAAAGAAACCCCTCAAATAGACTTCATTTTGCATCAGCCTGATAAGGGGGACCTCAGGAATATTTTTCACCTAAGTTCTTGGGATCAGTCTCTTCAGGGCCTTCGACTGCTCTAAGGGAGCCTGAGAACAAGGCAGGACCTAAGAAGTGTCTAGGAATGACATACACAGAAAGGGCACATTCAGAAGGGAGAGCCAGCTCCAGTCCCTAAAATGTGACTGTTCACCTGGCAGCATCCTCTAGGAGGTCTGGTTTCATTCAAACCCTTGGGTTTGGGTCAGAATCAACCTGGGGCTCTTCAGGTGGGGTGTCTTCTGGCCAGACAGGGGATTTCTTCTGAAAATAAACAGGATGTCCAAGCTGGACAGGAAACACTAATCAAAATCCTGAGGTGTGTGGAGGAGTGGAAGCAGAATCAGTACACCACTAAGTCTAAGGACTGGGAGAGCCGGCCCCCTGAAGGCACTGCTAAAACCCTGGACACCAGGGCTGAAAACATCCAGAGCAGCATCCAAAGGCTCCTTGGTTGACCTAGTTGACGAAGGTGACTTTAATGAGTAGGTCATTTAACTTCTTTGGGCCTCAAATTTCTTCATCTATTGAAGATAATTGATAACCTCTATAGTCCCTTCGGGCTCTAACATTCTATTGCTCTAAAAATGAGGTCTGAGTAAAAAGAGTTTTAAGAATGTGGAGTCAGTTTCCCGGCCCATGCACCAAAAAAAAAAAAAGAATGTGGAGTCAGTCCAATAGGAGATTAGACCCCAGACCCTAGACAGGTTGGGGGCAAAAACTGCTGGGTGAGAGAAGGGCTGGATGCTGTGGCTCATTCAAGCCTTAGTTTGTGGGAGATGAGGGCATCTGAGTTCACTGGCTCCTTAGTTTTTCAACAGAGGTGTTTGCTTCTCATGGTAATATTCCTGTTCCCATACTATAGAATTCTGAGACAAGCAGTCAGGCAGGTCACATCCAGGTGGGAGATGCACTGGGTAGCTGTTGGGGAGTGGAAAGAGAGGTTTAAAGATTTTTGTTTCAGCCTGGCTGGTGTGGCTCAGTGGTTGGACAGTATAACCTACGAACCAGGAGTTCACGGTTTGATTCCTTGTCAGGGCACATGTCTGGGTGTTGGGGTCGATCGCCAGTGTGGGGTGTGCAGGAGGCAGCCAATCAATGATTCTCTCTCATCATTGATGTTTCTCTCTCTCTTTCCCTCTCCCTTCTTTTCTGAAATAAATAAAAACATATTTCTGCCCTGACCGGTTTGGCTCAGTGGAGAGAGCATCGGCCTGCAGACTGAAGGGTCCCGGGTTCGATTCCGGTCAAGGGCATGTACCTTGGTTGAGGGCATATCCCCAGTGGGGGGTGTGCAGGAGGCAGCTGATCAATGTTTCTCTCTCATCGATGCTTCTAACTCTCTGTCCTTTCCCTTCCTCTCTGTAAAAAAAATCAATAAAATATATTTAAAAAAAATAAAAACATATTTCTTAAAAAGGATTTTTGTTTCAGATTTTGGCTCTGCCATTTACAAACTCAGTGTGATACAATCTCTTCTTGGAACCTCAACTTCATTATTTATAAAATAACACTTCCCATACAAGATTGGGAGGATTACTTAGGATAAATAAGAAAAAGCAAAGACCATTTAGCACAGAGGAGATGCCCGCCAAATGTCAAGCCTGCATTAACCCTTGCCTGACTACAGGGGCTTATGCTGTGGAAGTCCTGATGGCAGGCCCTTATATCAAAGGTTAACTTCCTAGGTTCTGCCTACAACAGGGAGGGGTGGAGAGTTGTGTCCCTAGCTACCTCTGTTAGGCCTCTCCTGACTCTAGGATGGTGTTGGGCGTTCCACTGCATGTTCATCCCTGAGGCTCGCTCCAGGGACAAGAGCTGGAGGCCCACATGACCCCACCCTTCATGACCCCACCCTTCATTCCCAACACCATTTTCAAGGTGGGGCATTTTCTGCTGAGCCAATACTCTCTCTCCATGGGAAAGACTTTAAAGAGCCATCCACCCTGGCCGGTTTGGCTCAGTGGATAGAACAGGGGTGGGCAAACTTTTTGACTCAAGGGCCACAATGGGTTCTTAAACTGGACCGGAGGGCCAGAACAAAAGCATGGATGGAGTGTTTGTGTGAACTAATATAAATTCAAAGTAAACATCATTACATAAAAGGGTACGGTCTTTTTTTTTTTTTAGTTTTATTCATTTCAAACGGGCCGGATCCAGCCTGCGGGCCGTAGTTTGCCCACGGCTGGGATAGAATGTTGGCCTGTGGACTGAAGGGTCCCGGGTTTGATTCTGGTCAAGGGCATGTACCTCGGTTGCAGGCTAGATCCCTAGCCCTGGTTTGGCACATGTGGGAGGCAACCAACCGATGTGTCTCTCTCACATCTGTCTCTCTCTCTCTCTCTGTGTCTCTCCCAATCCCTTCCACTCTTTCAAGTAATTAATAGAAAAATATCCTTGAGTGAAGGTTAACAATAACAATAGAGCCATCCTCATTACCTTGGTTTCTCAACCATCAAATAGTCTCACAAAAAAACCACACACACACACACACACACACACACACACACCAAACAACTGTCTCACAAGATACGGTGAGAGTTAAAAATTTATATAAAGAGCCAGTGGTGACAACAGGCAGTCATTCCACTACGTTAGCTCCCTTCCCCTTGGCAGCGCCCCTTCCTAAAGGGGCACCTGAGAGAGCAGGGAGTGAAAGGCTCCAATGATTCCCCAAAAATGCCAGTTCATCAAGGGTGCAATGGTATGATGAAGAATTTTCCAGAAATAAAAGCCACCTTTTTCCAACAGATTTACCTGTGAGCAACTGAAACGGGGAGAGTGGTCAATAGCGCTGAGCTCAGGCTCAGGAGAGCTGTGATTCAGGTTTCAGCAGACGTGTTCTTTGGAGCAGCACCAAGGTTGTGCACCGGAGAGGCACTCCGCCAGCTGCCTGCCTGTTCTGTCCAATCCTGGCTCCGTGGAGCTGAGGTGGAAGAATTCTCCCTGAAGGAAAGCAGCCAACACCCTGTCCCACCCTTCTCCTTGGGCAACTCTCGGCCAGGCAGGAATCTCTCACCGGTTTCCTTTGGCTGCCCGAGGAACCAGCAGCCACATCACCCGTTTGGGCCCAACCCCCACTCGCCACACCCCTCCCTGAACTTGCCCCAGCCCTGAGCTGGAGTCTGGAGGGACTACCTTCCTTTCAGCAAAAAAACCGCGGAAGCCCCAGAGCTTCTCCTGCCCGTGGAGCTTAGGAAAGCCAGCGCCTGCCTTTCCCCTGGGGGCGAGGTCCCCTTCCGGAGGGGCTGGCTGGGCACCCTGGCATTAGGCCTGGGGACATGCTTGGGACAGGCTGCCAGTGAAAATACAGGCCGCCCAGTTGTGAATTTCAAATGCCCCAATAAATTTTAACGTATAAGTTTGTCCCAAATATTGCATGGACTATACGTATGCTTATCGAGTTTTTATTATCGCTTTTGAAACTGTAACTCAAACTCAGCTGTCCGTCCGGCATTTTTATTTGCTAAATCTGGGAAACCAGAGATTGGCCTGGGGCACTTGGGGCAGCCCTCCCCCCGCCCCGCCCCGCCCCCGCAGTGGTGAGTCGGGTTGGGGGTCAAGAACCGGCTTGGGGTCCCGCACCCGCGTCTTCTCCCCACTGAGGGCGGCGGAAGCGTTTTGGAAGGACCGTGGGAAAGTCTCTTTCTTTCGAGAGGAAGGAGGAGTCGTGGCCTGGCTTCCTTCCCGCTCACCTCCAGCCTCGCGCGCGCCCGCGGGCTTTTCCCAGCCCCGCGTCCACCTGTCCGCCCACGGGCAGCTCCGCGCAGCTCCGGCAGGCGCCGGCCCCCCCCGGGCTTGGGGGGGGGGGGGGCCCCCGAATTCCCCGGCCCCGCCGGCCCGTTGGGCGGGGCCCCCCCGCGCGGGCGGGAAGAAACCGCGTTGTGCGCCGGCTGTGGGGCGCGAGCGCTGGCGGAGGTCGAGGTCCCGGCGGGACGCACGGCTGCTGGGCGTCGCTGCCGGTCCTTGTGCGTAATGGAGGGGACGGCTGTGGCTGTCTGTGAGGTGATGATGCCGGGAAGGGAGACAAAGCAGAGGGTAGTCTACGGGAAGCGGGGCTTTTGTGAGACCTCGCGAAGTTCGGGCAGAGGGGCGTGGCCTTGCCTGAGGGGGCAAAGGAAAGTTCGGGAACGATAGGATTCGGTGCCGGTCAGCCTGCCGCACAAGGGCTGTGAGGAGCCGATGAGGCCCGGGTGTGGGGGCCCCCGGGTGTGGGAGCCCCCGGGTGTGGGGGCCTCGGGCAGTGAAGCACGGGGCCTCCGAGGGGTAGTTACTCAGCCGAGGGAACGGCCACATGCTGCCGCCCCCGCGTCACAGCTGAGAAAACCGAGGCCCAGCAAGTGGAACTGTTTCCGAACAGTCGCGGTCGCCCGGGTTAGGGCAGGGGTGCCAGCCTCGGGGGCCCCATCCAGTGCCGGGAGGGCCGTGGACAGAAGGGACGGGACCAACCCATGCGAAACGGGAGAGAGGGGAGCGGTTGTGGGCCCTCGGCCAGCCCAGGTGCGGGCGGCTTCCTGGGTCCTGGCCGGGAGCCGTGGGTGAGGGAAGGCCGCACCCAGCTCTGACCACAGCACGGACCAGACACAGATTCCTGCGCTGGGAGGTGGGACTGAGCGCCTGGCACCGGCCGGCGGCACTTGTCATCCATGACGGCCCTTCCACAGCCGTTCTCGGGTTGAATTCTTTTTTTTTTTTTTTTTTAAATATCATCGATAAGAGAGAAACATCGATCAGCTGCCTCCTGCACACCCCCCACTGGGGATGTGCCTGCAACCCAGGTATATGCCCTTGACCGGAATCTAACCTGGGACCTTTCAGAAGCTCTACCCACTGAGCCAAACCGGTTAGGGCTCGGGTTGATTCAAACCGGTTAGGGCTCGGGTTGATTCTTAGCTCCGGGCCTTGTCAGGGACACTAGGCCCACGTAAGCTGCACACACGGGGTTCACCTGGCGGCGGGAAGATCGTGGGCCTTCCTGCTGCCTTGGTTATCATCCAGGAAAGTGGGAGGATGAGATTTTACAGGCACGGAACCTAGGACAGAGCGCAGAGCCGCTGCCTCAGGCCGGTCAGCGTTCATTTCCCATCTGCGAGCTCTCATTACGGATAAGGAAGCCGCGGGATTCGAGAAGGAGAGTTAGTGCAAAGCCTGGAGGCCATCTTTGTAAACTCTGATGCAAATTAGGACCTGAGTTCCCAAGTTCTCTTACTGAGATATGCTTTTTTTTTTTTTTAAAGGGGTAATCATTAGTATGGTACCTTCATGTGGAAGTGAGCATCCATGTTCATAAATAATAATGGAACTAAATACAATATATTTTGTTTCAAATTTATCTCTTCAAGATTGAATGTTTCATCCAGACATCTTGGAGATCTGTTCAACTTAAAATACTGTGTGCAGTCTACTGCAGATGAGCTTATTGGAAACTAGAGGCCCGGTGCAAAAATGTGTGCACTGCGGTGGGGGGAGGGGGTCCCTCAGCCCGGCCTGTGCCCTCTCACAGTCTGGGACCCCTCGGGGGATGTCCACCTGCTGGCTTAGGCCTGATCCCCTGGGGACCTGGCAGCTGAGACATCCCTCTGGCAGCCCGGGAGCCCTTGGGGGATGTCCACTTGCCAGCGGGGAGCAGGGGTAAGCTGCAGTCAGACATCCTTAGCGCTGCTGAGGAGGCGGGAGAGGCTCCCGTCACCACCGCTGTGCTGGCAGCCATCAGCCTGGCTTGTGGCTGAGCAGAGCTCCCCCTGTGGGAGCGCACTGACCACCAGGGGCAGCTCCTGCATTGAGCGCCTGCCCCCTGGTGGTCAGTGTGTGTCATAGTGACCAGTCATTCCCAGTTATTCTGCTGTTAGGGTCAATTTGCATATTACCCTTTTATTATATAGGATAATGGGTAATATTTATTAAGCATTTACTACATGCCAGGCACTGTATTAAGCAGTTTGCACGTTCAGCAGTAGCCGTATGTGGTTCTCATTTTTATAAACGAGGAAGCTGAGATCCAGAGCAATAAGTTCCCATGGTCACGTGCTAGAATTGGGGCATCAGGGTTAAAATAGAGGCATCTGCCTCCAGAGCCAGTGTTCTTAACTAGTATTATGACCCTCAGAAATGTTGATTTAATGAAAGCTAAAGATGAGTCATAACTTAATGTTTGATTTTACTTGGGAAGAAAAAAAAAGAGACAGAAAAACAAATCCTCACTTAATTTTTCAAATTATTATTTCCAGATGAACTTATTCTTTGAATAAAGCAATTTGGTGTCTCCACTTCCTGTCTTGTTGGGCATTGTGTTGAATTTCACTGTCTCCTTTAGGTCACTCCCCTAAGCTGTTTCTTCTGTTTAGACACAATGCTTTGTTCTGAACAAAGGTAAATCTGACATTTTGCAAGCAAGATTATTTTTTGAAATTAAATTATTAACTATCATAATTTTATTACCATGATTTCTAAAGAAGATTGTGTTTTCTTTGAATTATGCCCTTTTCAGATTTTGAAATATTTAATAATTCACTGGAAGTGTGAAACAGCAAATGGAGCATTGCTAGAAGGACAGCTAGTGATTTCCATAGAAGCATTAAATTCTAAGCAACAGGAAAATACTCTTCATTGTGTAACAACTAGTAAGTGGAGGAAGAAAAATGTTGAATTCTCTATCTTTGATTGTCATGATTTATGTTATAGTTTATTTTAAAAATTCAATTAGTCATAATCTTTTATGTTATCACTTCAGGGTTGTTCCATAGTTAAAAAACTTAAATGATTATGTAATAAGTATCTGCTGATAGATTTACAAATGTGTCATATAGGAAAACTGAGTAGAATGACATCACAGGATCCTTTATTTTACTGGCTTAAGGTAAAATTGCTCAGAAATAATCTCACTCTTGCTTTTGGTTTTCACCTCCTCTTTTACAGCAAAATGATATTGCATTATATTTTATCTCCTTTCTTTTATGTCTAGCCTTTAGTAGTTGGAGAAGCCAAAAAAATAATGAAGGAAGAAAAAAAAATAAAATGATGAATAGTACATACTTTGATAATACTAACTTGCAGTTAGTTTGAAAATACATATCTCTTCCATTTGGCACTTATTCTTTTGCCATTTTGCCTAAACTTTTCAGGGAAGCTAATGCATTGAGTGACTCTGAAACTAATTTTCTTGAACTTGTAAAGTGATAACTTCCTTGTTTGTTTGGGTTTTGGTGTGTGTGTGTGTGTGTGTGTGTGTGTGTAGATTTATTGAAGAATACTTTGGAATGAAGTTGTCCTGAAACCTTAGAGGAGGCAATCACCCTGAGTCCCAGTTGAGATTGGGTAGTACTGTAGGCTCTACAAGACATTTTCTCACCTGAACCGTAATCACATGTCTTCTCTTTGTGTACCTGTCAGTAAACATCCTCAGGAGAAGTATGATAGGTTGGTTTGCTTCTACTCTACATGAACTCCACTCTGACTGGATGTAGTTTCCACCATTCATGAGAGAGATGGTTAGCTATGTGGCTAGGGTGATGTTGGTCTATATATGGTTGTATTAGATTATGCATTGATTCTAATCCAGTAAACTCTTGCTAATATAAACTTGATTTCACTCAAAGCAAAGGACTTGAGCCACACTATCTTTTGGCAAGAAACCCATTCCAAAGGTATTTTGAGCCTAATGAATTTCCTCAACCCATGTAGTATAGGAGCATTTCTCTGGACTGTCTCTGATCTCTCTGTACTTATTTTCTTCCTCCCTCCCTCCCTCCCTCCCTCTCTCCCTCCCTCCCTCCCCTCCTTCCTTCCTTTAGTAGGAGGAAAGGTGATATATGCTTCTCACAAAATATTCCAACATTACAGAAGTATATATTATGGAAAGCGAGACTTTCTGATAATCTTACCTCTTGTGATAATTATTAAATAACATTCAATATATATTCTTCTAGATTTTTTCTATTCACATGGTCATAGTCTCACCAGGTAGATAGAATATTACTTATGTAGGGCTGCTGTAATGAAGTACCACAAACTGGGTGTCTTAAAACAAAATAAAGGTATTCTCTCACAGTTACAGAGGTAAAAGTCCAAAATCAAAGTATCAGTAGGTTTGGTGTGGTTTTTTTTTGGAGGCTCTGAGGGAGAAATCTATTCCATGTTTCTCTCCTAGCTTCTGGCAGGCCCTTGGTGTTTCTTGACTTGTAGACACATCACTCCAATCTCTGCATCTGTCTTCACCTGATGTTAATCTGTGTCTTCTTATAAGGACACCACTGGGATTTAGGGTCACCTTAATCTGGTACCACCTCATCTTAACTTGATGACATCCACAAGGACCCTATTTCCAAATAAGGACATATTCACAAGTACTGGGGCTTTCCAGGCTGGTGTGGCTCAGTGGTTGAGCATCGACCCATGAACCAAGAAGCCACTGGTTCAAGTCCTGGTCAGGGCACATGCCCGGGTTGCAGGCTCAATACCCAGTAGGGGCATGCAAGATCGATGGTGTTTGTCTCTCATCAATATTTCTCTCTATCCCATTCCCTTTCTCTCTTTCAAAAAAAAATTAAAACATATTTTTAAAAAGTGACAAGTATTGGGGCTTAGTTCTTCAAAATCTCTAAAAGAGGCACAAAATTCAACTTTCCAATAAACCAGCAAATTTTATTACTGGAATGATCTATCCATGAGAAGCTGAGAAATGCTTACATGGTTTCTTTCCATCAGTAATTGCTGAAAGCTTTAACAAGTGTTACATTGTTTCCCCACCATGTGTACTACAGGATGTTTATATGAGTTAGGAGAAAGGAGCTAATGTAGTCATCTACATTTGGGGAATGCCAGTTAAAATCAAGGAGTTGTTTTTTTAATTACAGTTTACAATATTATTTTGTTTTAGTATCAGGTATACAGCATAGCAGTTAGACAATCAAATACTTTACAAAGTGGAATCTAAAGTGTCATTACTTTGGATCTTCTCAGAGCCTTTAATATGCCATCGTGGACTGTGAATCATTCAAAACGGGTTATGTATAGCATTTCCTAAACATATAGCTCTTTAAAATTTTTTTTATTTTTAAAGATCATTTGTTCTAAAGAGGGAATTTTGGGGAATGCTGTTCCTCTAAAAATGTGTTCTACAAATTAGTCTCTACTGTCATCTTTGAATGACAGCACTTTAATACAGAAACTGAAGTATAGCTGAAAATTGGGGGATGGATGGAGTGTAGGATGATTGTTTTCCTTAAGCATGTGCACCAAAAGTGCCCATTTTCAACAGTTGTTGACATGATACTTCTTAAAACTAAGAAAAGGTGTTAGAAGAAAAAGTGTGACATGCAATTGAAAAATATCATGAACATGCTGCAAGACATACAGATTTTGTTAATTTTTCTTGTTAATGTTCTAGCTCCTCACAAATCACTAGTATAGATCTACTCCTACATGCCATCCCTGTCCCAATGACCCACTCTTTAAGATATGGCCAGTGTATGCCTGTGAGGAACACTAAGAAAAAAAATAGATGATTGTCTCTTATTAAATGTTCTATGCTACTTGGACTTATGCCTTTTGAAGTATGTACCATTTGTCCAGATCATTCAAAATCTAGGACATTGCTTATCTAATAGAACTTTTTGTGATAATGGGAATGTTCTATATCTGTGCTACTTAGTACAGTAGCTATTAGTCACATTCTCAACCTTTTTTCCCTGCTTAAAGAATACAACTTTTCCGCCGAAACCGGTTTGAAAAAATAGATGATTGTCTCTTATTAAATGTTCTATGCTACTTGGACTTATGCCTTTTGAAGTATGTACCATTTGTCCATATCCCCAGTGGGGGATGTGCAGGAGGCAGCTGGTCGATGTTTCTCTCTCATCGATGTTTCTAACTCTCTACTTAGTACAGTAGCTATTAGTCACATTCTCAACCTTTTTTCCCTGCTTAAAGAATACAACTTTCTTAAGGGATAGACACATTTGGCAGTGATTATTAGATTCTTAATTATCAGATCACATTCTTCAGTGAGAGGACATGTTCAGTTTGGAAAAAAGCCTCCATGTAGTTCTCATCATTTTTCCCTTCTTAGGGTATGCTTTTTCCTTTACCTTCTTCCCATGAAGAATTATTGCTCCAAATGTCCTAATGTTCCAATTTAGAACTCTAGATACAGAGAATTCTTACCTGATAGTCTAATAAAGTATTTTTTACTAATGAGTAAATTGGTTAAAAGAAAGCCAAAAATTTTTATTGAATCTTACACTGGAATATGGGTTATTGGCATGATATACTCTATTTACTAGCTACAGTTTGCATTCTTTCTAAATTCCTTTCCTACTGGGAATAGTAATATCCAAAGAGGCAGTACTGGTATTGAATATAAGTAAAAAGACTTGCTATTTGGTCCCATCTCCAAGAAGTTATTCTGCCCCCAAACAGTCATGTGATTTCATAATTTTTCTTTTTCTTTTTTTTATTACTAAAAGTATTACAAAGGATATTACATATGTGTCCTCCCCCCCCCCATAATTTTTCTTTGATGCCTCCATTTTTACTGAACTCATTAGTAGTGGTCATCTTTTTTATGTTGTGTCTATAAGCCGTATTTTTAGACTCCCATTTGATTCTTTAGATAAAATCCATTTAATTGTTTTATTTATGATATTTTCTTGTTTGTTTTTTATAGTTGCTTCTTCAGAAAGCATATATGGTGGTTTGGTCTACAGGAACTTCCTAAAAGGTAAAGAATTACCCATTTTCCACGAGACTAAAAGCCATGTACAGTATAAGGGAATGGTTTTATTATCATTGTTAATACTAGAAAGAAGATAATGAATTGAGTATAGTTTATGGAATAATCACCTATTTATTTTGTTTATACAGGCATTAAGACAGTTTGTTTCATGTTGACTTAATGTAATTGTTATTTAAAAAATCAAAGCAACTATATGCATATTTAATCATATTTTTAAAAATATATTTTATTGATTTTTTACAGAGAGGAAGGGAGAGGATAGAGAGTTAGAAACATCGATCAGCTGCCTCCTGCACAGCCCCCACTGGGGATGTGCCCGCAACCAAGGTACATGCCCTTGACCAGAATCGAACCTAGGACCCTTCAGTCCGCAAGCCGATGCTCTATCCACTGAGCCAAACCGGTCAGGGCTATTTAATTATATTTTTATAGTCTTGTGATGAAGTGGAGATGGCTTTTGTCCAAAGAGGAAGTACTGCACATCAAGTACACAATAAAAATTGAGTCTTAATCACGTTTAGTAGCCATCGTTAGCCTGTTTTCTCTTCAGCTGTTAGGATTCTTAATACTACCAACATCCACTCAGTATTGCTATTTATTCTTACTAATTAGGAACAGAAATGACTCATTGAAGCTCACAAAAGAAATTGTCCAAAACCAGAATTTGAATCCCTTATCTTTCTAGCTTATGCATCAGTCATTATGCCTTTATTACTATTGTTATTTATTTAGCATTCCTTAATATTTTCAAACTGCTTTAAATTGGTCCATTCACAAATCTTTACACTCTTTAATTAGCTTCATCAGGAAGTCTCTGATGGCTGATTCATTAACCATCAGATTTCCTGATGCTAAAGAATTACGTACTTATACAAAATTAGCAGTGTGCCTCTGAATTTAGTTCGTTAACTACGTTATATCTACTTCATTGCTCAGTTGATTTCTCTCTGCCTAAAAGAAGGTCTGACCTCTCTTTAGGGGAACTGTACTAGTATATTGTAGAGCCATTCAACATCAGTTTCCTTTAGTTTTCAATCTATTCTATCAAGGTGTATCAAGGTACTTTTTCTCTGGACCTGGAGTACTTCAGACCAATTCCTATACAAACAGGCTCATATTTCTGGGTGTTTTATTTATGCTAGATTAATCAAGAAAACCTCCCTGTTTTCCTACTCTTTAATGGTATGTGTTCTGTTTTTTGTTTTCTTTCTTCTTTGGTCCCTAACTAGTTATACTTTTATCCAGTAAACCTTTATTGAACATCTTGTCACAAAGAAGTCATAGGGCAGTGATGGCGAACCTATGACACGCGTGTCAGAGGTGACACGCGAACTCATTTTTTTGGTTGATTTTTCTTTGTTAAATGGCATTTAAATATATAAAATAAATATCAAAAATATAAATCTTTGTTTTACTATGGTTGCAAATATCAAAAAATTTCTACATGTGACACGGCACCAGAGTTAAGTTAGGGTTTTTCAAAATGCTGACACGCCGAGCTCAAAAGGTTCGCCATCACTATCATAGGGAGAGGTAGCTCTGAAAATAAAATACAATGCTATAAGTACTATTATGGAGGTACGTATGTTCTAGGTGCTTATTTGGTAACTTAGAAGATATTTCCCTAGGCCCTGCCCAGGTAGCTCAGTTGGTTAGCACAGCATCCCAATATGCCAAGGTTGTGGGTTCAATCCCTGGTCAGGGCATATACAAGAATCAATCAATGGCCCTGGTTGGGAGGCTCATTTGGTTGGAGTGTTGTACCATACACCAAAGAGTTGCAGGTTCAGTTCCCAGTCAGGGCACGTATCTGGGTTGCAGGTTCCATCACAGGTCGGGGATTGTGCGGGAGGCAGCCAATCAATGTTTCATACATTTATGCTTTTTTCTCTCTCTCCCTCTCGCTCTAAAAATCAATGGAAACATATCACCAGGTGTGGATTATAAAATAAAAACATAGCTCTAACCGGTTTGGCCTGCGGACTCAAGGGTCCCAGGTTCGATTTCGGTCAAGGGCATGTGGCTTGGTTGTGGGCACATACCCAGTAGGGAGTGTGCAGGAGGCAGCTGATCGATGGTTCTCTCTCATCGATGTTTCTAGCTCTCTATCCCTCTCCCTTTCTCTCTGTAAAAAATCAATAAAATATTTTTAAAAATAATCAACCTATGAATATATAAATAAGTGGAACAACAAATCGATGTTTTTTTCTCTCTCTAAAAATAAATAAATATATTTTTAAAAGATATTCTTCTAAAGTTCAGTCACCACTATGACTTTCTTCCCTTCATTATTCTGCATCATTATTCTACATTTACTTCAGATAGCTTTGATACTTTTGGGACTTTAATGATCATTTCTATGCTAATGAAACTTATTTTTTCCCCTTTCTATTACTAACATGTTTCTGGCTTTTATTGTCAATTAGACTATTATTCCATTTGAAAGTCCCTCTGAAAAATCATGTGTGACATGTCTAAAAAAGGGTTCATTTTCTTGAAAACTAATTTGCTGTATAATAGCTGCATTTCTTGCAGTGATATAGCACTAACATTCTCATAATTCTACAGGCTTCAATTTTTGACTTTTCTTTGGCTTCTCCATTATCTAATCGAATTGATTTTTTGTTAATTTTGCTTTTTATACTATAGAATTATTATATATTAAAATATATATTAATTAAAACAGAGCTTTATGTTCCTCTTGATTGCTTATTAGAATAAAATACCTCCGACCAGATTTGAGGTCCTCTGTCAATTAGAATAATCTTCTATACTTTGAAGGATGATGCCCATTAAGATAAATTCTTGTGTTTAAAAATTCTCATTATTTTATATTAATATATGTACTAGAGGCCCGATGCATGAAAATTTGTGCAAGAGTAGGCCTTCTTTCCCCCGGCTGCTGGTACCAGCTTCCCTCTGGCACCCGGGACCTGGGCTTTGCTCCGGCCCCAGCTTCATCTGGAAGGACGTCCGGAATGACACCCATAAGGACGTTCAGTCTAATTAGCATATTACCCTTTTGTTATTATAGATTGCCAGTGCGCATCATGTCTACCAGATGGTCAGATGGACGGATGGTCACTTAGCCTTTTATATATATAGATTATGCTGCATTATATACTTGTCTATGTAGAAATCCATTTATATATTAATTTATATGTTTATCCATTTATGTAGAACCACTTCTATCATAAATATCTATTTGGTGAAACATAATGGTTTTAGTTTGCCCTTTTTGCCTAAGTCTAGAAGCTACTTCCTATCATGTCCTTACTCTAGTGAAGAAAAGATGAAAAGAAAGAGTAGAAGAGAATGATGAGATGGGGGAATGTGAAAAAAAGCCATATATATAGGTCTCTATTTTGTTGTTTCTTTCTTGCCTCTTCTATTCATATTATTTTGATTGATTTTATCTCATTTTTCCTTTTTATTGAATTTACTGGGGTGACACTGATTAAATTATACAGATTTTAAGTGTGAATTCCACAACACATCATCTGTACACTGTATTGTGTGTTCACCACTCCATGTCAAGCCTCCTTCTATCACTATTTATCTCCCCTATACTCCACACCCCTCCCCCCAAGTCACCACATTTATCTTTTTAAATATCTCCTCAAGCCCTAGCCGGTTTGGCTCAGTGGATAGAGCATTGGCCTGAAGGGTCCGGGGTTCGATTTTGGTCAAGGGCACATGCCCAGGTTGCAGATACGTGCCCTAGTAGGGGACGTGCAGGGGGCAACCAATCAATGATTCTCTCTCATCATTGATGTTTCTGTCTTTCTCTCCCCTCTCCCTTCCTCTCTGAAATCAATAAAAATATGTTTTAAAAATAAAAAATAAAACAAATATCTCCTCATTCCCATATTTATTGGCATAATTTAACTCTTTACTAAAATGCAGTTTGGCATTCATTTTAAAAAATATTCTAGTGTTTGTCCCAAATCAGAAAATGTATGGCCTTTTTTTTTATTATTATTCAAAACACTAATAAGAATTAACAGCCCTTGTAAATAGGGGAGATAGCTTTGCTGTTGACATATGGTTATATGGTAATGATAGTTCAGTTTTAGCTTTTATCCTGTACTTCACCCTTTTGGCATCACGGAGCCTATTTTTAAAAAGTTTAGTTTTGTTTGTAGTCTTTGTTAATTTGTTGGGAAAGGAAATGAGGAGTGGTGCTTTTCGTACATTAGATTGACAGGTCCAGGCTTGCTCAACATTGAGTGAGAAACTCCCAACGGTGAACTCTTAGATGTCTGACTTACTTTTAATTTTTAAATCTGAGATTCTCATATTCAAAGATTAAAAAGATATAATTTTATATCTTCCAAGGTCAACAACTCTAAGTGCAATACATATCTTACACTTTTTCTGTCAGGAGCTCATTTTGTAGACATGATCTCATTCATCATTCATTCTTGAATGAGGTAGGTTAGACTTAAGTATTATCACCATTTCTGTTTCAGAGACGGGGAAACTGAGATTTATTTCAGCTTCATATTTAGAAGTATAGAAGAGTTTGTGGACTCACAGGTCATTGGTTACCCTGTAAATCCATACTTAATCTTCAAGCTTTTGATATGTTCTAAACAGTCTCTTATTGCCAGATTTGCATAACACATGACAAGATTTTATAAAGAGAAGATTAAGTGAAGATCAAATAAGTTAAAATAAATGAATTTGTCTTCTTTTGCTTCCTTAATATTTCTTTACTCCTTTCCTTATTAAGGTTATCTAATCATACCTCACTATTGAGAAATGTTCAAGATTTTATGTGAATTTTGTTATATTTATTCCTATTATAATTTTTGTTGCTATTACAAATGGTATTCATTTTTAATTTTGAGTGTTTATCTGTAGATTCTCTTGGATCCTCTATATAGACAATCAAAGCATCTTTAAATTATGACAATTTTGTCAAAACTATTTTTCTTTGCTCTGTTTTGGGCATTTTCAAATGTCATAATTTCTGCCTTACAGTGTTATTATTTTTGCTTTCAACTGTTAATTGTATGTTGTAAGATTAAACTTTGCTTGTGGGGGTCAAGATACAAAGCTCTTGCATCTTAATAGATTATATAATTCTGAGTCCCATCCCCACTTATATGACATGGCTTTATGGCCCTCATTCTGCATCATTGATGCTGCTACTATCATTACTTGGCTTTAACCAACCCTCAGGTAAGCAGGCAGCACATGTCTGGTCTTTGTTTTTGTTTTGGTTATCAGCTCTCCTATGTATGGCCTGTGTGGCTCTTGCTCTTAAACTTATATGTCGCATTATTAGCCCTATTGTTTTTTCATAGTCCAGGCCCCAAATATGGTGCATCGTTGGTCCTTACCATTGTGGAATCCCTCTCTTTTTTCTTCCAGAAGATGAGGGAATATCTTTCCGTGTCTGGTCTATAAAGATTTCTCACTTCTGTTTTTCTTACTATGACTGTATATTTATTAAAATTTAAAAATATTTGTTTTATCATTTTATATGTTTGAATGGGAAGATGAGATTTCAATATATGCTCAACTTATCTTGAAATAGGAGGCTTTTATTTAATTCTTTTGTCAGTTATCTTGATTGTGTGTGTGTGTGTGTGTGTGTGTGTATGTATGTATGTATGGGATAAGGCAACTGAAATTGATTTCCCTCCCAAATAACCACATATTTTATTTAAAGCTAGAGGCCTGGTGCATGGATTCGTGCACTGGTGGGGTTCCTCGGCCTGGCCTGTGGGGATTGGGCCAAAACAGACTCTCCGACATCCCCCAAGAGGTCCCGGATTGTGAGAGGGTGCAGGCCAAGCTGAGGGACCCCAATGGTGCATGATCGGGGGCCTGGGGAGGGCTCCAAGTCATGTCCGGCTCGTCTCGCCCAGTCCCGATAGGCCAGACCACAGCCAGACCACAGCAGCAAGCTAACCTACCAGTTGGAGCGTCTGCCCCCTGGTGGTCAGTGAGTGTCATAGTGACTGTCGTACACTTAGCATATTAGGCTTTTATTATATAGGATTGTTATTAAGATTTCTGGAGAATTCAAAGTTATTGACAAGCCTTTTTTTCATACATCTACATGTTTTCCCCATTCTGCCATATTACTCCTTCAAAGAGAAATAGGATTCGGGAACAATGGAACAATATTTTTTTTATTTCACAGAAAGGTTACCAAATCACAGAAAAAAAGGGGTCGCCTTAGGTCGGAAAGTCCATAAGTGGTAAAGATTGACGTAAGGTATCCTGGTTCAGTGCCAAGTTCATTAAACTTCAGTGTAGCATAACCTTGTTACCATATTATCCTGGGCTTTGTGACTGAATTATATTTGAAAAGCACTCTAATGGCAAGAAAATATTACCCATTAAGATTGTTAGAACTTGATCTTGGTAAAGTCCTTTAAAATTTTTAAAAAATATATTTTTACTGATTTCAAAATGGGAGGAGAGAGAGATAGGAACACCAATGATGAGAGAAAATCATTGATCAGCTCCTCCTGCACACACCACCCTGAGGATCGAGCCTGCAACCTGGGCTTGTGCCCTGATAGGGAATTGGACTATGACCTCCTGGTTCAAAGTTGACACTCAACCACTAAGACACACTGGCTGGGTTAATATCCATACTTTTTGAGATGATTAAAATTTTATTAGATATATAGAATGAATGCTTTAAGAGAAAGTTGTGTTGTTTTGGGATATATTTTGTTGTTATATTTTTAAAAATATATATTGATTTCAGAGAGGAAGGGAAGACAGAGAGATAGAAATATCAATGATGAGAGAGGATCATTGATTGGGCTGCCTCCTGCACACCCCCTACTGGGGGTGAAGCTCCAACTTGGGCATGTGCCCTGACAGGGAATGGAACCATGGCCTCCTGGTTCATAGGATAACACTCAACCACTGAGCCATGCCGGCCGGGCTATTATTACATTCTTAAAGTTGAGTTCTTATATAATATTATTGTCAACCTCACAAAGTAGAACTTGTGGAAACTGAGTTAGTTATAGTTAGTTCTTTATAATACTACTGTAGAGAGGAAATAAGGATGGCATTTTATAAAATGGGAAATTTGTTTTTTCCTTTTGTAATATGAGTGTCAGGGTACAGAAAGGAAGAAGAGTTTGTGCATACTTTGAGGTACTTTTTGTTGATGACCCAGGACTCACTGATACCTTGTGGAAATATAATTGAGTCAACACATGTAAATGCACCAGGTGGTTAATTTATGAATTAAAGTAGCAAGATTTGTTTTTCTTTGTTAAAAAGTACCTTATTAGCCCAGCCGGGTGTGGCTCAGCGGCTGAGCGTCGACCCAGGAACCAAGAGGTTGCCGGTTCGATTCCTGGTCAGGGCATATGCCCAGGTTGTGGGTTCGGTCCCCAGTGGGGGGCGTGCAGGAGGCAGCCGATCGATGATTCTCTCTCATCATTGATGTTTCTATTTCTCTTTCCCTCTCCCTTCCTCTCTGAAATCAATAAATATATATTTTAAAAAGAAGTACCTTATTAAATAACAATATATTAGTAAGTGGCTGAGAGGGTCATTCGTGAATTTTTCCACTTTTGGTTCTAAATAAGCTCACTTGCTGGATTTGTGTTTATTAAATAATGAATGAATTTATTTAAAAAAATACAAGAATATCAGATAGAACTCTGAAGATTTCTGGCATTGGATATGACCTTGTGGAAAGTAACTGAAAATGCAAATGATTTAGCAAATGTGAAAAATTGAAAACATGAGATTAAATGTCTTAACCCCATAATGTAATTCTAAATGTTCAAGCAATTTGTTGATGCATAGCTATTTCCAGTCATACTTTAAAATTTGCAGATAATCTTTTCATCAGGGAAAAGCCTTCTTGGCTCTTAAGTTTAATAAACAATTCCAGAAATTCTGGTACTTGTCCAAACTGTTTGTTCTATTTTGTCACCATTTCTTCTCACACAGAAATGCAATCTATACTGCCTGGATCCTCTGCAAAACTGAATTGGACTTCCGAGGAAGTCAGCTATTCTCAGGACATTTCAAGGGTAACACCTTTCCAGATGACTTTTGAGGCAGGTTTTTTTTGTGGTTCTATAAATCATTGTTATTTTGTTTGTTTGTTTTTTTTGTTTTTGTTTTTTTTACAAATCTAGTAACAGGAAAGAAAGGCTTAGGTGCATCACAGTTCAAACTTGAAATGAAATAAGGCATTGATTCCCAAACTTTCCTGCACAAATTTTAAATCTAGGAGCTTCCAAAATATTAATATTTGTGTCCCACTCCAAAAGGTACTGATTTAATTGGTCTAAGATGTTGGATTAGTCTGCTTGTGCTGCTATAAAAAAATACCAGAGATTGGGTGGCTTAAAGTTGAGTTCTTTAGGGGAACAGAAATTTATTTCCTTATACTTCTGGAGGCTAGAAGTCCAAGATCAAAGTGCCTTGTCACTGTTTCTTCACATGTATATATCTGGAGAGAGCTGTCTGGTATCTCTTCCTCTTCTGAATTTATTTTTTTAAAATATGTTTTTATTGATTTCAGAGAGGAAGGGAGAGGGAGAGAGATAGAAACATCAATGATGAAAGAGAATCAGTGATTGGCTGGTTGCCTCCTGCATACCTCCTACTGAGTATGGAGCCTGCAGCCCCAGCATATGCCCTTGACTGGGACCTTTCATTCCACAGGCCAACGCTCTATCCATTGAGCCAAACTGGCTAGGGCTCTTCCTCTTCTTATAAGGACACCAGTCCTATCAAATTAGCGCCTCGCCCTTATGACCTCATTTATGCTTAATTACATCTTTAAGGTACTATCTCTGAATACAATCACCGTCACTTGGAGGGCTAGGCTTCAATATATGAATTTGGGGGCTGGGGGACACAATTCAGTTCATAACAGGTGTGGCCTGGGCTTTGGAATACTTTAAAAATTCCAGTGATTCCTAATGAGCAGGTAAGTTCCCCTTTCCTTCCTTTGAGTTGGCGGAGACATAAAGAATTAGAGTACCTTAAACATTCTCCCAAAAAAGCACTTGAGAGGCCTTTCTACATGTTTGAACAATTGTATGCTTCTAAAAGGAATGAGTATGGTATCAGGACATCAAATATACCTGACTGTGCCTTATCTTCTTTAGGGGAACTGAAGGGTAAACAATCTGGAGCAATTAATGGTTAGTCAGCTCTGAAACTATTAATGTCAAATAGCAATAAAATAGCTGATGCCAGTGAACCAAGGAAAGCAGTTCTAGAAAAGGAGATCACGTGTTTTAGTCAGTCTGAACAATCCTAACATTTTTATATTAAGCCTCCTGATACTCTATGAAGTGGATAGGACAAGGATTATCACCCCATTTTATAGGTAAGAAAACTGAGATTCACAGAATTTAACTTTCTTAAGGTCCTACAAAACTTAAGTGACAGAATTTGAACAAGCCTTACTCATTGATCAATGCTGTTCCAGTATTTATTCATTCAGAAACCTGTTTTTGTTCAAGTTGGTCTCACTGTGCTAGATACTGAAGGTACATAATTCCAAAACATGTTACTTGATCCCAAGGCACTTGGAATCTAAAGGAAAAGATAAACAGGTAATTACAGTACAGTGTAATATGCATCATGATAGAAGTAAGCACTGAATGCTATGATTGCATAGAGGAAGGGTACCTAACCCAGTGGGAAGGGGTCAAGATCTAGGTCTTGATGAGGCTGAAAAACAGGTATTCTGACTGTAAGGGGTTTAGAGACTTGAAAGTATAAGAAGTTGTCATCAGAGTAATAAAGTTTCTCTTGTGTGTGTTTTTTCTCCTTATGACAAAAGCAGTGTTTCCCACAGGAAAATCAAAGTGAGCATTTAGAGCACAAATAATTTGACTTAATCAAGGTAGCCACTATTAACAACTTGGTATACAGCTTTTCCCATAAAAATGGAACATTTCATCCCTAACTGGTTTGGCTCAGTGGATAGAGCGTCGGCCTGCGGACTGAAGGGTCCCAGGTTCAATTCCGGTCAAGGGCATGTACCTGTACCTCAGTTGCAGGCTCCTCCCCAGTCTGGGTTCCTCCAGAAGGCAACCAATGAATGTGTTTCTCTCACATCAATATTTATCTCTTGTCTTTCTTCCATTCTCTTTAAAAATCAATGGGAAAATACCCTCAGGTGGATTAAAAAATAATAATAATAAAGGTATTTGAAGATAGTAAGAAGAGAGAGAGGAGATTGTGAAAGATTTCATTATATATACCTCAATTGAGGAGAAGGGTCAAGTAGCAAGGTTCATGGCAGACATCCATGAAAAAGCTATCCTATATAATAAAAGCCTAATATGCTAAGTGCCTGGTCATCCAGTTGTCCATTCAACCAGTCAAAGTGTAATATGCTAATGATATGCTAAAGCTGCTCAATTGCTCGCTGTGACATGCACTGACCATCAGGGGGCAGACGCTAGCTTGCTGCTGGTGTCCGGGCAATTGGGATTGAGTGAGATGGGCTGGACATGCCCTGGAGCCCTCTCGTGGTCCCTCCCTGACTGGCCAACCTCCCACGTCCCTCCTTGGCCCCAATCGTGCACCAGTGGGGTCCCTCGGCCTGGCCTGCACCTTCTTGCAATCCGGGCTGAGGGACCCGCCCCTCCCCGAGTGCATGAATTTTGTGCACCGGGCCTCTAGTAATAAAGAATCTGCTTTGGGCATGTGAGAATCACTAATCTCAGGAAAGCCTGAGAAAAGCTTCATTTAGAAGAGAGGTGGGGTTTTTGGTTATGCTGAGTCAGTCCTGCATCTTGAGGTCTATTAGGCTGGGTAACAAACAAAATTTGATTTTATAGGATTTTCTTGACATCTTTACCCATTTTTATATTTATTTATATACTAGAGGCCTGTTGCACAAAGAGATTCGTGCAATAGGCCTTCCCTTCTGGCTGCTGGCACCAGTTTTCCTCCAGCACCCGAGACCCAGGCCTTCGCTCCGGTCGGAGCCACCTTCCGTCCTCCGTCTTCACGGCCCTGGCTGGAGCCGCCTTCCATCCTCCATCTTTGCGGCCCCGGCCGGAGCTGCCTTCCATCTTCCGTCTTTGCGGCTCCGGCTCACCTTCAGTCTTCGCTCCGCCGCTTGGAGCCTATGTATGCAAATTAACTGCCATCTTTGCTGGTGGTTAATTTGCATATCATGCTGATTAGCCAATGGGAGGCATAGCGAAGGTACGGTCATTTATCCTGTTTGTCTATTATTAGATAGGATATTTATATTTTGCTATAATACTAAATGAAAAAAATGGGTAGATTTTATATATATATATATATATATATATATATATATATATATATATATATAGACACATACATCTATGTATTTACCTACCTATTGTCTATCTATTTAAAGACAAGAGACACTGATTGACTTTCTTCTAGAAAGTCATATAGGTCCCATGACTGCATAAGTTCAGGTTTCAAAATATAAAACAGCTCCCATATTCTATCATATAATTAGACTTGTATTTAAAGGTAAAGGCTGAAACATATAATTCAATGGTGGTTTCTGCTGCCAAGGGCTGGCAGCATCTGTTTTTTCCTAAGAGCACTTAAGTAAATTCCCTGCTTCTGTAGGTATGTCAGGCTGGGGTACTGGGTTTCTAACACACAATTATAAAAGGCCATAAAAGAATTTGCAGTCAGTCAAAGTGTGCCTGTCTGCCTGGCCATCTCTGTATCTCTTTCTCTCAAAAATTTATGAGATCTTAAAAGAAGCTATTTGCTTTATGTTAACTATCCTCTGTTGACCTGACCTTAGGTCTCTTTATCTTCTCATCTGGATTAGGTGCCAGTCCTTCTTGTATTTCTTTAGCATCTTTTTATATATTTAAATCATAAAACTTTTTATGGTGTCATAAAAGTTATTTATTTGTATGTCTTTTCTACTTACTGTGAACTCTTCAAATTGAGATTGTTTTATCTCTGTAGGCCTAGGTGCATAATAAGCAACATTAAGTGTTTTATGAGTGAATAAATACATATATTCAGTAGTCATGCATAAGCATTGCCTGCCAGGATCCATAAAAAAGAATGGCAGATTATGTAATATCTGATTCAGATAGCTATATGCATAGAAAATGAACATTCTTTGGAGAGGCAGCATTGCATAGTGGAATGTGGGGTTTGGAGATAATCAGATCTAGGTTTGAATACCAATTCTGCCACTTAGCGAACTATATGTTACCTTGGACAGATTAATTAGCTTATTTAGTTTCATTATCCTCATCAATAAAGTGGGTGTGTTTTCTGCTTGCATATAAACTGCTTGTCATCTAGCAGGTGTTCATTAAATGGTAGCTCTCATCATTATTAATTGTAGCTCCTCTCTGGTAGCTGCTCAAGGAACTTTCATGTATTTGCTAGATATAATTAGTGCTTTCTATGACACGCCCTATAATCACCAAGGTTACAGAAGTTTGAAACTGTTCCAAGAAGTTGTTTTGGAAGTGTTAAGTACAGAAAATGCTTTTAAGAGATCACTGCTTTCCTACTGTTTGAACATTTTATAATAAAAAATTTTAAATGAAGGATGTGACTATGATGTGTGCTGCAGTTACCATTTAATTACCACTATTTATGTGTATGAATAATTGTAGGTTGGTTTCCAAATTTTTCTAATAATTCTAACCCCTTTTTTCTAATATTTTTTCTAATTATCCCCAACCCATCACACAGTTCTTGAGCTCTTTTTCAGTGTATTTATAAAAGGTGTTATAATTTATCCTTTATTAAATATTTACATGTTTCTCTTTATTATGAGATTTTGAGATTGGACCTTTTTTTTCTTTACTATGTACCCAGTACATGGCTCTGTATTCTCTGAGCCACCAATAAAAACTTACTAATTCTGACTCTATTTCTTCTTATTATTCTTCTGGACTTCTCCCTTTTCCAGGAGACACTTTCCAATTTTGGTTTTAGGGACACAATATTAAAAATACTGAGTTAGTATAGGGAAGTGGTTAATACTAAAGCTTTGGAGCCAGATTTGGTATGCTTGAAAAAGTTTTAACTTCTTTGAAACTCACTTTTTTCATCCTGAAAATATTGGTTATAGGTAATATAAATAAGATACTTTAGCATTATTTCTGGAATAGAGAAAGCCTTCATTGGATAGTAATCTTATTATATTTATAAGGATGTGTCAGGGTATATTGGAAAGAGCATGGGCAAATTTGTTTTAGATAGATTAAGGATCAAATTCTGGCTCTAACACTGAACAGTTTAGTGACCTTAGGCAAGTTGCTTAACTTCTCTGAGCCTCAATTTGTTTTTGTTTTAAATCTACAAAGAAGGAATAGTAATACCTACCTCCAGGATTGCTGGGAGATAATGTGTATATAGCACCTGCACAATGCTTGCCATTTAGTAGGCATTCAACAAGTGGTATCTATTATTATTATTACCATGTATAACATACTAGGGACCCAGTGCACGAAATCATGCACCTTAAAAGGAACTGTGGGCCCCAAGGGTGTGGTGGGCACAAGGGTGGGTCTCAGCCCATCCTCCGTGCCCCTGCCTGGCCCCTCCCACCGTGGCCCCTGGTCCCCTCTCTACCGGCAGCCCCGTTCCCACCACTCCTATGTGCTGACAGCGCTGGCCCGCTCACACCCGCTGACATCATGGAGCTATTGGGGCTGGGCACCAGCAGTGGGTGCGAACGGCAGCTGCTGCCCCGATTACCCTTCAGGAGCAGGGGAAGGTGGAGAAGCCCTCAGGGGCGATTGGGGCCGGCAGCCACAGCTTGCACCCACTGATGGAGCTGAGCGATCGGGGCTGGTGCCAGCAGCAGGTGCATCAGGTGGGATCGTGGCACACAGGAGCAAAGAATTTTCAGTAATCACCAGAGGCTCACCCTGATGACAGCAACCGGCACCCTGCCTTGGTCTGGCACCCCTGCTCACCTGCTCCACCATCCCACTATGGCCGACACCCGCCATGTTCCACACTCTGTTGCCTGCTGCCGACGTCTGCCATGTTCCGTGTGCGCCCCCTGGTGGTCAGTGCACATCATAGCGACCAGTTGTTAGTTATTCCGCCATTCGGTCTATTTGCATATTAGGGTTTTATATTTTGCATATTAGGGTTCTATATATATATATTTTTCAGATTATTTGATCCTTAAAACAGTTCTGTGAGGTAAAAGGGTATTACCCCTCTTTTGCAGATTAGGAAATAAGGTCCAGAGCAGTTAAGTGATTTTTTATCCATGGTCACTTAAGTAATTTTTTATATATGTTTTTTAAAATTGATTTTAGAGAGAGAGGAAGGGAGAGTGATAGAGAGCTAGAAATATCTATCAGCTGCCTCCTGCATGCCCTTTACTGGGGATCAAGCCTGCAACCCAGGCATGTGCCTGACCAAGAATCGATCCAGTGACCTCTTGGTTCATGGGTAGAAGCTCAACCACTGAGCCACGCCAGCCAGGCTTCACTCATATTCTTAATACAAATGTTATTTTTCTCAGGTTCATTCTGAATTACTTTAAATTACTTTTAAATTTGTTCCTGCAGGTAATTTTGATATTGTGGGTTTTACTATAATCATTGTTCATGTGTCTCCTGAAGGTCAATAAAATAAGTACTTTAACCTAAGAAGTGATGGCTATTAGATTCCCTTTTGTGTCTAATTCTAAGACCCAAAGATGTTTCCCCTTGAATGTCTGAAAAGCTTTCTGAGGTGTTATTTTTATAGGAAGAAATACCATAATTTGATTCGTTTGTGCTTTTGAGTTTGTGTATAAGTGGTGGATGTTTTGTTGTGTTGTTACAGGTTGATGAAAAGCCAAGAACTTTGATGACAGATAGTCTGGTTATAAAGAATTTTTTACGCAAAATTGTCATGGTGCACCCTAAGGTAAGCTGTTATTTTGCACAATAAAGATTCTCTTATTTAAGTCATGTTTTTTTAGTATTTTATTTTATTTTGTTCTTTGTTGTTTTGTTTGTTTGTTAATCCTTACCCGAAGATATTTTTCCATTGATTTTTTTTTAGAGAAAGTGGAAGGGAAGGGAGAGACAGAGAGAGAGAGAGAGAGAGAGAGAAACATCGATGTGAGAGAGACACATCGATTTGTTGCCTCACACACGAGCCCCAACTAGGGCTGGGGACTGAGCCTGCAACTGAGGTACGTGCCCTTTGACTGGAATTGAACCCGAAATCCTTCAGACTGCGCGCCGACACTCTATCCACTGAGCCAAATCGGATAGGGCTAAGTCATGTTTTCAAGAGACCTCTACTCTGTAAAACATGGAAGGACCTAGTTGATTCTCTTTCTTTTAATGACATGATTACAACTTTTAATATTGAATTGATTTGGTTTCTGTGTCCCTAAGGCAATCTTGATGTTGGTGATGTGACATAGTTGGGAGCCCTTGGATACAGAGAGATTCTCTTTTGGATTCTTATTCTTATTTCTTTACTTTTTTGTTGTTGTTAATCCTCACCAGAGGATATTTTTCCATTGCTTTTTCTGAGAGAGTGGAGGGAGGGAGGGAAAGAGAGAGAGAGAGAGAGAGAGAGAGAGAGAGAGAGAGAGAGAGAAAAGAGAAGAGAGAGAGAAACATAGATGTGAGAGATGCATCGACTGGTTGCCTCCCACACGCGCTCCTACTGAAGGTGGGGAGTGAACACACAACCCAGTTGTGTGCCCTTGACTGGGAATCGAATCCGAGACTCTTTGGTCCTTAGGCTGAGGCTCTAATCATCCATCAAAACTGGCCAGGGGCTTCTTTACTGTTTTATTGTATCAATTTGGGTACTTCTTTCCACTTCTCTGTGTTTCATTCTTTTTTTGTTAAACCTGGCTTTTCTAAAGTGACTAGTAGCCCGGTTCACAAAATTCGTGCACATTAAAAGGGAATTAATTGCCCTAACCGGTTTGGCTCAGTGGATAGAGCATCAGCCTGCGGACTAAAGGGTCCCAGGTTCGATTCCAGTCAAGGGCATGTACCTTGGTTGAGGGCACATCCCCAGTGGGGAGTGTGCAGGAGGCAGCTGATCGATGTTTCTCTCTCATCGATGTTTCTAACTCTCTATCCCTCTCCCTTCCTCTCTGTAAAAAATCAATAAAATATATTTTTTAAAAGGGAATTAATTAGCAGAGATATTTTAATATTGGCTATTTGCCCTTTCTCTATAATAGAAGTGTGAGAGATGAAAGGAAATTAGTAAAATGAAATGAAAATAATATATAAATTTATTAATAAATAAACAGTAACAAAAGGATATAACAACAACAGAGGCATGATATAAAAACAACAAAAACATGATATGAAAACAACAAAAACATGATATGAAAACAACAGTGATGCAAACAATGACTGATAAAGTGATTAAACTTATTCTAATATCTCCCTGTACACCACATTAAGAGTGAAAACACTTTCAGAGTGCTTGACTAATTTCCCTTGTGATGAAGTACTTAGAACTTTAACTGTAACATCACACGCTCTTCAAACTTGAGAAAAAGCAACATATAACTGACCATGTGCAAAAACGGGTTTAGGTAGGAATATGCCTACTTTGTCTAGAGTTTGTCCTTTTGATTTATTAATAGTCATCACAAATGCTGGCATCATGGAAAACCGTCGTCGAATCAATTTAAATGGGAGGCCAGTGTCAGATGGGGACAAATTAATTATTGGAATTAGAATAGCCTCTCCCTCTACAGATCCTGTTAATACTTCAGCTTCAATAATGTTAGGTTGTAATCTTTTGGTAATAAATCTGGTACCATTACAAAGACCCCATTTGCTATTGAGATTTCTCAATAGCATGATGATTGCACCCACTTTTAATTTTAATTTATGACATGGCATTCCTGAAGGAGTAATACTATATTAAGAAATTCGATGGGAAAATTTTCCTTTTCAGCATCATCTGTGGAATCAATGGAATCATCACTCAAATATGTGTGAAAATCTCCATCGAGTATATCCAAATTTTCTTCATTTAATTTTTGAACATGCTCATATTTTGGACAAAGAATTGCACGTTTAGATATATTTTTAGTATTATCTATAGCAGTGGTTCTTAACCTTGACTGCACGTTAGAATCACCTGGGAATCTTTTTAAAATCCTGATTCCTGGGCCTCATCCTCCGGAAATTGTTTCTTTGTTATGGGGTGGGGCCACAACATTAGTAACAAAGAAACAGAATTAAAACTTTATTGTGGGGAGCCGCTACAGTGTTTTGGACAGGTTCAAGCCTTGGACTGATGAGAGGGCACAGTCCTCTCATTGCCACGTGTAAGTCCCAGCTTGGAGGGCAGGGCCCTCCCAGCACAATTATAGCCAACAGCTGTAGTTGTAAGCTTGAACCTGTGGTCCGAACACATGGCCCCACGTGCCTGAGTTATGTAGGCTTGATAGAGTTCAGGTGCATGTAGTTGAGTAGGATTGAAACCCAGGAGAATGTTGTAAACATCTTGGTCACGCCTTTACTTTGCCTTGTAGCATCTGCTATAAAATAAAGGCATGGCTGTGGGCGTGGTTGCTGTCTCTCAGAGAAGCAGCGTCCCACCGAGACCCAGCTTTCATTCTCTTGTCTGTCTTTTCTAAGCCTTTCAGCCACCCCGACTCAGGTTCACCCTTGGCTGGCATGGCACACTTTAGAAAGATAATGCCTCCACGCTCCCAGGGCAGGTTCCTGCCTCAAACCCCGCCCTTACAGGAAACAGCTCCAGGAAACAGCTCGGGGGAGGGCGCAGCCGTTGCCAAGACAACACCTGCAGGACTGACTTCCTTCCGCTTGGTCGCTGCAGTTCTGGATGTGATGAACACCATCCATGGTTTTTATATAAGTAGACTAGTAGCCTGGTGCACGAAATTCATGCACATTAAAAGGGAATTAATTAGAGGAATGTAATTTGGACTCACTATCTAATATCAATAATATGTGAGCTTGAGGCAGTCCGCGTTTCTGAAATTCAATGACATGAATTTTAGCTTATTACTTTGCCAAATAAATGGAATTTACAGATATCATTTAAAAGAGCATTCAGCTTAATATTAAAAACTCTGGCTACCAAGTCCAGTCTATTTTCAACTTTTTGCCAGCATTGTAAATTGTTAGCAATATCTGCCCATTTGGGGTTGCATGTCATTGTTATGAATAAATCGGGCTTGCCATACTTCGTTATAATTGCCATAGCATCCTGATATCGCTGCTGCATATTTCTGGGACTACCCTCAGAAGATGGAAGTATTATCATTTTACCAATCAGCACATTGTCATTTTCAGATCTAGATTTGAGATAATCCATCAAACCACTATATTTTTCAACTCGAAACTTAGATTGGTTTGCTTTGATGAAATTTATCCGATTGGCCTCCATTTTTGAATACGAATCCACGATAAACTGTTGAGTTAATTTTCCTGCATTTAAAATAGGATTGAATGTGTCCTGCACAGAGAGATGAAATCTATAATAATCTATAATACTGCATTTGTGTGACTCCTGTCCTTACATTTTGTCTAGTATTATTGTCTCTGAGTCTTAATGCAATATCTGTCCCCCAGCCTTGTTCATCATGTGGAAAAAGAATAGGATATGTCATTGCATCTAATGTAGGAAACAGGATATTGATTTGTTTCATTTTAGTGGCAATTGGATTATTGGGATCTAGTTTACAATGAATGAGCAAGTCCCTTTCAAAAGGAGGTTCTTCACCTTCGTTCCTGAATATGACAGCAACCTTGGTTACACTGGGAGAATTATATCTACCTGGGTCACTGTTATGCTTGTATTTAATCGCCATTGTTACTTCTGTGGGAGCAATACCTTTTGCTGCTGCTTCAGATTGGGCTTCCTTTTCTACCTCATGTAGCATCTTGTAGATTTTGTTAATTCACTTATTTAATGCACGAGGTTGTTGATGTTGATCATGAGTCTTTCTGAGCAGCCCTGGTTTTCTGGCATTGCTAATCTTTTACTTGTAGCTTCGGCTGTATCCAAAATACAGAGTTGAGCAAACTTCCGAGAAACTCCATCTGAAGGGTGTAAAGTTCCAGTATGGTGATAAACTTGTCCGTGTATTCTAAAACAGTATGGCCCATATCCTGATGGCGGTGCAATATTTGCACCCATGGAAGCAAAAACAAAAGAACTATTTATGGAACGAATATTTTCCATGAAATTGTTACTGTCAGAATCTGTTTGTTATTAATCTTTTTAAATATGCCGGGTAATCTGGAAAATGTATATCATTTGGATAGACTTTCCCTTTGCTACAACATCAAGTAAATTTCCCATCAGATGGTTTTTCATCAGAGAAATTTAGTGATAGGCAAAATTCACATAGAACAGTCATTCCACCACAACTATGTTCGAGGATTGCATCCTCATGTACTCCATTTTCGCTGAGAAGGCAGTTCCCATCGGTATTGGTAGTACTTGTTGATGACTATTCTCTACACATATTCTGTCATCGCCACCGCCTTCTTTCAACTTCAAAGGCATGTTGGTCTTTAGACATTTTCTGTCAATAATGCCAGTGTTTTTCGGCATCAGAGCGGTGTTTTTCCAGTAGCTGGTGTTCAGATACATCCTGTCACAGGCACTGCCTTCTTTCAAGATCAGACACACACTGCTCTGCAAACACTTTCTGTCAATAACGGATAACGCCAGCATCTTTCGGCTGCAGAGCTATGTTGTTGTATCAACAGTTGTTCTTTAGACATAGCCCCAACTCTCTACTGTCAGGTCTGAGATGCAGGTGAATGAGAGTCCTGGCTGTCAGGCCGCTGAGAGCTGTCTGACCAATGGCTGATTCTGGCTGATTCTGTGGGGGTGGGACTTCCTCCTCCCTGCTGTCAGTGTCCACAGCTGTGATGAGGAAGCTGGGGTGACAGAGGGGGCCGTGCTCTCCAAGCCGCCCTCTCTCTCGCTCTGCTCTATGTCCAGCGGCCTCCTGCTCTACCAAGTCCTCCAAACCTCCCGCTCTCCGCCAGCAAGGTCCCAGGAGCCTGTGGGCTTGGCTAGGCGCGAGTGGCCTCGCCTCCCATGCCGGCAATGGTCCCTGGAGCCTGCGTCCTCGGCTGCCCTCACCTCCTGGGGCACCTGACACCTGCATATGCAAATTAACCGCCATCTTTGTCGGGTTAATTTGCATAGTCACTCAGTATGGCTGGTGGGTGTGGCTGGTGGGCGTGGCTTGAGTGTAGCAGAGGGATGGCTAATTTGCATGTTTCTCTTTTATTATATAGGATAGTAAGAGCAAATAAGGAAATTTTGATAAAGTATTTTGAACTTGGGAGAGCAAAATTTTTATTATCTGCAGTTAGATGTGTTTATAAAGATGCACACAATTAAGTATGCTATATTACTTCCCCCTTTTTCCCTCTTGTTGGCTTCTTACTTTTTTTGTTGTCAGCAGGATTCAGTGCTATTTCTTGCCAGTCACTATTCTAAGTGTTCTCCATGCACGTACTCATTCAACCCTTGCAACATTCCTCATGAATTAGGTTTTATCATCATCCCCATTTTATAGCTGAAGAAACTATGGTACAGAGGTTAAATAACTTGCAGAGCCAGGATTTGAGCACAGTCTGGCTCTGGAGTCCCTTATTACCCATTATGTTATATAGAAAGAAAAATGTAGGTTGAAGGTAGGAAATAGACAGTGAAATAAGTTGGAGGGCAGACAAAAAAGTCAGATGGGGCAGGGGAAGAAAAAGCAAAGAAAATAAGTGTGGAATGTTTCTTGTATGATAACAATGGAAAGAATATGGAGAAAATTGATAGTTCCTTTAAGAAAGGGAAGAAAAGATACATTAGGGGAACAGAAGACAAAACGGTAGGATTTCCTGGTAATTTGTGACTGCTTGGCATTGTAGTGTTAAGATGCAATATATTTAAGAGACAGATTTTGAACACAGACAAGTGTTAATTATGTTTAGGGATGGTGTAAGTGAAAAAAAGGTGATATAAAAAATATCTCCTTTAGGTATGGAAGTTTTAAATCTCTATCCTGGTTCATGTTAAATCTCACACACCATTTATTTTGCAGATTAGATTTAATTTCAGTGTAAAGGTGAATGGTATCCTCTCCACGGAAATCTTTGAGTAAGTCCTTAAATCCATGGCTTAAGTTTATGCCATAGCTCTAGAGCTTTTCTCAGTCATTATTGTCCTATTTCCAATAGGTTCACAGTTTGATTTATTGAGCCAAGTTCACTTTGAAACTAATATTCTGAGACCCCCATATTTTATTATTCTATATTAGTTTTTAAAATAAGTAAATGCATTCATCTAAACCTTTTATGTCTTTCCCTTTTACTAGAGTGAATGAATTTAAAAATTGCCATTTTCCCTTGGTTAATTGGTTACTGAATTCCAGTAATCTCTCGGGGTGGTAGTAGTCATATTACCAAAATTTGTACCAGGCAGAAATTGGTATTAGAATTTTTGAGATATGGCTTAGCTTTTTATTGCTTTGCAGGGCAGAGAATGAACCTACTTTGAACCTGTCGAATGGAATTGCTCTTGTCGTAAACTATCAGCATTATATGAGGTGAAGGGGGAAAGCATTGTTCCTCTCCCTGTTTTACTCTCCTATTATGAATATAAATGTGGCAGAAATTAAAAATGGTCTCACTTGTCATTTCTTAGTGCCAGATGTCAGAGTCTCTATAAGAAAAATAAAGTAAAACTTTTAAGCTAATTATATTGAAAACTGTTATTCCTGGCTCCTTGAATATATTCTGATTGACCTGAGGACATGTTCTTTCTCCTCTCCATGCCTTATTTTCTCCTGTAAATGAAACAAAACATACCCTGCTAATTCCAACCCCATTTACACATGAGAAGAGAGGGCTGAACTTAAAAGGTTCTTGAACTCTTGGCTAGATAGATACAATGACTACAAAGAAATTCTTTGTGTATTATTGTTTGTGCATCAGCATTTTGCCTAGGTTTGGAAATCTCTCTCCCTATCTCCACGTTCTTCAGACTGCAAATCATGGAGGAGGTGGTATATAATATGGAATAGACAGAACACCTCCACTAGAATATTTTTTTATTCTTTAATATGTGCAGAAAACAACACCCTCACTCCATATCTTTTTTTTAAAATATATTTTATTGATTTTTTACAGAGAGAAAGGGAGAGAAATAGAGAGTTAGAAACATAGATGAGAGAGAAACATCGATCAGCTGCCTCCTGCACATCTCCCACTGGGGATGTGCCCACAACCCAGGTACATGCCCTTGACTGGAATCGAACCTGGGACCTTTCAGTCCGCAGGCCAACGCTCTATCCACTGAGCCAAACCGGTTTCGGCTCCATATCTTTCTTTAGTAATCTTAAAGTATCATACATTCATTACAGGTAGACATCTTGTTATCGTAGCTTTATTGAAAGAGACGATGCTTGTAGACACATTTCTCTGGGCAACTTGATTAGTTTAGAGAGAGAAAAAGGTTCAGTACTCTTTTGTGTTTAGAAAAGAACTGTTGGAAAGTAACCAAATATTAAATTTCACTAGATTCTTTCTAGGAGAGAAAGGTGTCCTAATTTTTTCTTACTATTGCTATCTAACAGTAACTTCAGACCTCGTCAGGGGAAGCATGTGTGGGAGCAGTCATCTGAGAATAGGGATGCCAGTTTTAGGTTATTTGTGATTAAGGAACCCCCTCACTCCCACTTCTGCCATGCTGATCTCTGAATGATCTTGGAAACTTCTGCTTAGAACCATAGAGTAATTAGTGGATGAAATTCATTTTTTGAGAATATAAAACTGCCACTAGTGGCAGCGAAAGCAGGAGCCATGATACCATTCCTGAAATGCCGATTTGTCTGCTCTGTCTATTGCTTGTGCTTCCTTGAGTGGGACGCAAGTTATTGATATGGCGGGTTATATGGTTATGCATATGCTAGAGATTATAAAAGGAATTTTGAATACCTTTAAAAATAATTTCTTGAGGAAAAAAGCTAAATTTGTCTTCCTTGTTTTTTGACAGTAGACCAAAATTTGGTACAACTCAATCACTCTGCAGCAGAATCCATCCTGTACTAGGACATCCAGTAATGCTTTTCATCCCCAATGACGTGGCTGGCGTGGACTTGTTGGGAGAGCTGATACTGACTCCAGCTGCTGCTGTGTGTCCCTGCCCAAAGATCTCTTCCAACCAGCTGATGAATAGGATTTCTTCAGTTTCCATATCCTTTTGATGACAGAATTCATATAATTGTCTTTGAAAATGAATTGTTATGCCCAAATTTTAGAAAATCCTTTAGCATATAAACTTTGAGTGTAAAAGCCAGTATGATTTGTGTAAAAACAAAAATCCAGTATGAAAGCCAAGCTTGAAAGTTTTTCCAAGAAACTGAAAACTATAAAATGTGCCACATGTGCCACACTCTTTTCATATTATCCCATATGCCTGAAGCATGGAATGAATGGTGCAAGGGGAAGAGATGAGGCTGGAAAAGTCATTTGGGGTTGAATATGGTGGATATTGAATGCTACACTACAGATTGTGAACTTTGTTCTCTGTATAGTGGGAAACCATTGAATGTTTAGGAGTTTCTAACAGCATTATACAGGATAGATGGGAGAGAGAAGTCTGTAATCACTAAGTAAGTAAGTAAGTAAGTAAGTAAGTAAGTAAGTAAACTGGACAGGAGGGATCGAATGCCTGAATTAAAAATGTGATGAGTATGGAAAGGAGAGACTGAGAGGCTTATTACTGGAAGGAATCAACATAATGACGTGATCAATTTATTGTTGGAATATGGAGATTAGGGGCAGAGAAATGAAAGGATATTGTTGAAAGATTCTCACACTGTATGTGTGTCAATTGTTATCACTTGAAGATAGACATAAGTTAAAGTTGTATATTATAAAGCCTAAAACAATCTCTAAGTTGATACAACAGTTAGAACTAATAAGCAAAAAAAAAGGGAATAAATGGAACTATGAAATATGTCCAATCCAAAATAGAATCCAAAGAATAGAAAAGAGGGAAAAGAATACTAGGAACAAATGGAAAACAGATAACAAAATGTAGATTTAAACCTAACCATAGCAGTATTCTTATTAAATGTAAATGGTTAACCCAATGAAAAGACAGTCACATATTTTGACTCTTCAGATACTCCACTCTTTTTTAAAAATGTTTAAACATATTTTTAATGATTTCAGAGAGGAAGGGAGAGGAAGAGTTAGAAACACCAATGATGAGAGATAATCATTGATTAGCTGCCTCCTACATGCCTCAGGTATTGAACCCGCAACCGGGCATGTGCCCTGACCAGGAATTGTACCTTGACCTCCTGGTTCATACGTCAACACTTAACCACTGAGCTGGCCAGCCAGATACTTGACTCTTTTTTTTTTAATTAAATCTTTATTGTTCAGATTATTACATTGGTTCCTCTTTTTTCCCCCCATAACTCCCCTCCACCCAGTTCCCACCCCACCCTCCGCCCTCACTCCCCACCCACTGTCCTCATCCATAGGTGCACGATTATTGTCCAATCTCTTCCCACACCCCCCACACCCCTTTCCCCCCCAAGAATATTTGTTATTCATAATTTGTATCTTTACCTTTTTCTTCTTCTTCCTCTTCTTAAAGGATACCTTTCAGCATTTCATATAATACTGGTTTGGTGGTGATGAACTCCTTTAGTTTTTTCTTATCTGTGAAGCTCTTTATCTGACCTTCACTTCTGAATGATAGCTTTGCTGGATAAAGTAATCTTGGTTGTAGGTTCTTGGCATTCATCACTTTGAATATTTCTTGCCACTCCCTTCTGGCCTGCAAAGTTTCTGTTGAGAAATCAGCTGACAGTCGTATGGGTACTCCCTTGTTGGTAACTGACTGTTTTTCTCTTGCTGCTTTTAAGATTCTCTCTTTGTCTTTTGCTCTTGGCACTTTAATTATGATGTGTCTTGGTGTGGTCCTCTTTGGATTCCTTTTGTTTGGTGTTCTATGCGCTTCCTGGACTTGGAAGTCTATTTCTTTCACCAGGTAGGGGAAGTTTTCTGTCATTATTTCTTCAAATAGGTTTTCAATATCTTGCTCTCTCTCTTCTTCTAGCACCCCTATAATTCGGATGTTGGTACGCTTGAAGCTGTCCCAGAGGCTCCTTACACTATCTTCATATTTTTGGATTCTTTTTTCTTTTTGTTTTTCTGGTTGGGTGTTTTTTGCTTCTTTGTATTTCAAATCTTTGGCTTGATTCTTGAGATCCTCTGGTCTGCTGTTGGGAGTCTGTATAATATTCCTTATTTCAGTCAGTGTATGCTTAATTTCTAGTTGGTCCTTTATCACAACATCGAGGGTCTCACTAGATTTCTTGAGGATCTCACTACATTTATTGGCGGTTTCTAGAGAATTCTTGAAAAACCTAAAAAGTGTGGTTTTGAACTCTATATCCAGTAGTTTGCTTTCCTCCATTTCTGTCATTTGTGATCTGTTTCTTTGTCTCAGCATTTTTTATGCTTCGCTGTGTCAATAGCGTGGCTTTCTGTGCTAAGTGTCCCAATTACCTGAGGTAGACACTCTTGGTGCACCCCCTTGTGGGCTTTGTGCACAGTCTTGTTGTAGTTAAGCCTTGATTGTTGTAGTTAACACTGGGAGGATTTGACCTCCAGGCCAACTGGCTGTGAGAATCAGCTGTGTCTATGGTGGGAGAACTTCTGTGCTGAAGACACCCTTATGGGGCAAGACTTGCTTCAGTGGGGCTTTGGTGCTCACTGAGTCTGCCCCCTGAGTATGTCCCTTATAGATCTGAGGAGTTGTAATTGGATAGTCCCACTCTGACCACTGGGTACACTGGCTTTTGGATCTAAGGAGGTGCTAATCTAGCCTCTGCCTGAGGCTACCCAGCAGAGGCCAGCTGTAAAGCAATGCAAGTTGCCCTGGGGCCTTGGGGCAGCTGCAGTTTGTTATTTTCAGATTACAAAGGGCCGGGCCTTTCATATGCAAAAGCCTCTGTGCACAGCTTGGGCGGGGCAGGTCCCAGGGGATCAACAGAGTGGGCGGAGCGAGCAGTATGGCTGCTCTCAGTCCTGCCTTCAGAGGTCCTGGCAATCGCCGAGAGTGCCTCCGAGAGAAAGCTGCCCTCGAGTTCCGACCGACCGATGCCAGACAGTCCCGTTTCTCCAGTATGAGTCTGGGTCCCCAGAGACTCGCTCGGAACTGGAGCTCAGAGCCTGAGACTCCCTCCCAATTGAAAAAGACAATCGTGTCCTCAGCTGCCAGCCCTCTCCACATGCACCTCCGCACCTTTGTATTTTCCTTCAGCACCGCACCTCCTCTGAGTCTCGGTATGCTTTTCTCTTTCCTTCTAGTTGTAGAAATTCCACTCAGCCAGCCTTCCTATGGTTCTGGATGATGTCCGTTATGTCTTTTAGTTGTATTTTTGAAGTGGTTGTGCGAGGCAGCAATCTCCGTTGTTTACCTATTCCGCCATCTTGGTTTCTCCAGATACTCGACTCTTATTCTGAGTTGGTAGCATCTCAAAGCTTCCCTTGTGTTCCTATTAAAAAGATGAAAACAAAAATGAAGGAAAAATACATTATTTCCTCATTAGCCTTGGTTCAGGGTACAAAAAATGGTAGGCAGTGTTTCTTAACTGGATAATTTTGCCTTCAGATGACATTTGGCAATGTCTGGAGACATTTTTTAAAAATATATGTATTTTTATTGATTTCAGAGGAAGGAAGAGGGAGAGAGAATCATTGATTGGCTGCCTCCTACATGCCCCACACTTGGGATTGAGCCTGCAATCTGGGCATATGCCCTGACTGGGAATCAAACTGTGACCTCCTGTTTCTTAGGTTGATGCTCAATCACTGAGCCACGCCAGCTGGACTCTGGAGACATTTTTTATTGTCATGAATGGAGGGAGGGGTAAAGGCCAGGGGTGCGGCTAAACATTCTACAATGCACAATACAGCCCTTCTCCCGCCGCACACAACAAAGAATTATTTGGCTTAAAGCGTCAATAGTGCTAAGATAGAGAAACCCTGGGTAGGAGAGAGGATGAGAGTGGGAAGGAAACCATTTCAGGGTCCTGTCCATCTTTGTCTTAGTTAGAGAATAGGATTAGAGAAGGTGAGGAGTTTCCTTATCAATCTGAATATACTCAAAAACTTGTTGGAAAATATTCCTTTGTGTATATCACATTGTATTACAGTTTACTGGTTTTACATGTTTCTCTTATACTATAAATATGATAACTTGAAGATAGGTATTAAATCTGGATATTCATCTTTGTATCCCCAGAACTTAGTATGGTGTTTAACCTGACATATCACTCAAATCTATGATTGAATGAGTAGGATGAATTAATAACTAATTGTCCTAATACTATACCTGTAGCTCATACTCATTAAACCCAGAATAAATTTCTGAGGATTCTAGTGGATCTATCTAATATCTCTGATACCTGACACTTATCTTCAATGTATAAAAGGCTTAATATGTAATTGCCTAGCACACTACTTTATTTCTGGGAATGTGAACCAGGTTAATGTTACATGTTTGTTTTATGCAAATGAATACACATAAAAACTAAAATTTGGAAGTTTTCTTTAGCACCTATACATATTTCTATATGGACCTTCGGGTCTGCCTCTGATATTGCCAAGCCAGGAACAATCAATTACTACTGTCTTCAAAGATACCTCTTATTTCATTGACTGGAAGAAGTACCACTTGTGTGTGGTGCCCAGTTTGGATCTCAATTTGGATAGAGGTATATCTCCCTCTCTTTGCACAGGAATCAAGAAAACTGGAGAATATCAGAGAAATGCAAGGAAACAAATACCAGGTGTAAGTTTGAGAGACCACTTGCAGTGAGGCAAATGGTGTCAAGAGGCAAAGCCCCCATCAGAGTTGAGCCGTTTTTGCATTCCATATTGATGCTGGTTCTTCTCTCACTTCCTCTTTGCCTCCTCTATTCCCGGAGTAGCCAGTGGCCTTCATCCTCTAGGGACTTGTTCAGAGGGTTTCTGTTGTACCTTAATCCGTCAGTTCTGGGGTTTTATAAAAGTAAGGGAGCAATTGCATCTTTGTGGAAGAGAAATGTTTCCTAATGAGATGAGAAAACCCACATATAATTACTTAGAAAAAAATTAAAACACCACATAAATACAAGGCAGGAGTATAAACCTTATAGTAATAAAGCTAGGAACCTGGCGGTAATATTCACGTAGAGCCTAACCAATACTAGTTTTGGGTGAATCATGTTGAAAGTTGGATGCTTAAAACCTAGACTAACAAATAAAACTGGGAAATGGGTATATACAACCATGAGTTGATGTCTAGGAAGTTTACAGTCTTGAGCTTGACTGTTGTTAGCTAGAATCCTTTGACATTTGGAAGGTAATCTGGTCAATTGTATCCTGAGGAAGACGACCATTAGGGAAGAGGTATTGTGACTGGCATGAGAAGGTTGAAGCCTCCTGGGATGGGCAGTGTCTCAGGGGAATGATGGAATCTTCATCAAGGAAGTAAGCCTTGGGGTAAGGCTCTTTTTTCTTAAGTAGTAGTTATTCCAGAGGTTGGATTGAAAGGAGGGTGTCCTTAGACAGGGTCTCTGGAGGTAAGAGGTTTTGTGAAGAAGCAATGTTTGGTCTTAACAGGATGTCATGTTATTAGGATTTAAAAATCTCTAGGGCTCTCCATATCTTCTTTTCTCTTTCATTTTTATTTTCATGTTTTATTGATTTCCTTTATTTTTTGTCAATTTGTGATGCCTAAACTTTCTCATTTAATTTTGGAGATGAATAATGTAGAAAATGCCCTTGTCTCACCCCCCCCCCCTTTTACTCTGAAGGACAGACCAGGATCCCATGGAGGTACTTTCCTATATGGATCTGGGTGGAATTAAGGGTTATCCTGATTGTATTCTAAAGGATAAAGGTGCTAGAAAGTGACCACAGGGCATCAGATTACTTGGGAATCCACATAGTATTCTGATTATAAGCACAGATTTTGGAGTCAGTTTAAAACAGTTCTACCACTTACTCTCTCATGTTGGGCAACATATTTAACCTCTCTATGCCTCTCCTCTTATCTGTAAAAAGGCATAAGAATAGGTCCTATGCCATAGTGTTGTGAAGTCTAAATGTTGAGATAGTACATGTAAAGAATTTAATATTGTACATGGCATATAGTAAGCATTCCATACAAGTTAGCTGTTATCATTACTCAGGCTTGACTCTCACCTCTGCCGCTTACTAGTGATACCTACCTTAGAAAGTTGTATAAGGGATGCATGAATTTATTATTTAATGCTTCTCAGCAAGTGCTAAGGAGTGCTGTTTGGTTTGCATCTTGCACACCTAGTTGTTTTGATGTTCTTCCTGAGAATCACTTTATTTGCTTCCATCCTGTGGATAGAGAAATAAATTCAGGAGGAGAAGGCAGTGTTCAAATTTAGATTTATCTCAGATTTTTCTCTTTTTGAGGTATAGGTTCTTTATTCAGTTAGCATTTTGAGGGCTTTATTTATCTTAGAATACTGTGCAATACCTTGTTCTCTAGATATGGTGCTTCCAGATGTGAGTTATCAGGTGGAATCCAGCGAGGGGGATCAGTCTCAAAATATGGACCTTCAGGGGCAAACTCTGCTGCTCATTCTCTTTGTGGATTTCCACAGTCAGTGTCCAGTCCAGCAAATGGAACTCTGGGGTAGGTATAAGAGAATTGGGCTGCCAGCATGGGTGTGCTTACATTTTAAGAGAATAAAGAAAAGGAGACTTGCCGAAACCGGTTTGGCTCAGTGGATAGAGCGTCGGCCTGCAGACTGAAGGGTCCCGGGTTCAATTCCGGTCAAGGGCATGTACCTGGGTTGCGGGCACATCCCCAGTGGGGGGTGTGCAGGAGGCAGCTGATCGATGTTTCTCTCTCATCGATGTTTCTAACTCTATCTCTCTCCTTTCCTCTCTGTAAAAAATCAATAAAATATATTTTAAAAAAAAGAAAAAAGAAAAGGAGACTTTACCCCAGCCAATGTGGCTCAGTGGTTGAGCATCAACCCATGAACCAGGAGGTCCAGGTTCAATTCTTGGTCAGGGCACATGCCCAAGTTGCGGGCTTAATTCCCAGTTAGGGGCATGCAGGAGGCAGCCGATCAATGATTCCCTCTCAACATTGATGTTTCTGTCTTTCTGATTGCCACATATACCTCTGAAAAGGGAGAAATTGTCCTTCTTTAGGCGTACAAGGGGGAGCCTTGGGTGCTTATCTCATAGATGGGTGATAACCTGTCTTCAGAAAGGTTCTCTCTGTTAGAGGTTAAGCAGTGATTTCACTGTTTTGTGGTCAATGAAAAACATGATTCCAGATTCACCTGGAATATTTGAAAATGTCAGCTTCCTATACCAAGGATTAACTCATTATTTTGCTATAATGTAAAAATCTAGTACAATTCAAGAATTTGCATTTTTAACAAGATTCTCAGGTGATTCTTAAACATAGTAAAGTTTGAAAACAATGAGTATGAGTGGGAGTTGGCTTACACATTTTAATCCAATAGCCCCTGGAAGGTAAGTGTGTTTCTCAGTGCCTTCTGAACTGTGAAGGAAGTAGCAAAAAGTAGAGCTTATAAGCTTCTGGGGGAAGGTTGATAACCTTTCTTTTGTGTTCCTGGTATGTCTCTCTGTTCTTTCTCTGTGGGCTGATGCTTTTGCCTGGGATTCTGTTCTTTGGGCATTGATGTGGCCCTTCTCCCACTGAGTCATAGGAGAAATGAGACAGCCAACAACCCCAGATCAGCAGAGCTCATGTTGCCTGGTACCAGCTATGTAATGAACAAACCATTGTCAGCTGTGGGATTCTTCCTGCTGCCTACCACCCATGCCACTCCTCTCTTTCCCCATCATGTGTATATTCTTTAGAAGACAAGCACTGCTTCCCTGGGCTCTGATTTGCAATTCTTTATTTGAGGAGCTGGTGTTCTTTGGTGCCCCACTATTCCATTCATCAAGGCCCTGGAATGGGAACATAGAAGAGACCTAAACTAAAGAGGCTTCTAGCAGGGAAGTCAAAGGTGAAGAAGCCTAGGGTTGTTATCTGGCTGTGCTCACATGGTAGAGGCTGATAAGAGGAGCAGTTTAGTTTTGTGGAAAGGATTTCAGGGTACAATCAAGAGACCTGAGTTTAATTTTGGTCCTGCAATGAAATTCCTCAATTATTTTGGGGAAGCAAGTTACATAAATCACTTGATTCTCCTTTTCATAAACAGGGTAGGGCAAAAGTAGGTTTATAGTTCAGAGTATATGAAACACAGTTTATTCTTGTATTATTAATTATTATATTATTTTCCATAAGAACAGCTGTAATCCTACATTTGCCCCACCCTTTATTTAACATAAGATTGTTAGCCTAGGTGATATCAAAGGCCCTTTCAAGTCTAAAGACCCTCTTAAGACAAAATCTGTGATATTTTGGCCCTAGCTGGTTTTCTGAGTGGTTAGAGTATTGGCCTGCATCGGGTCAAGAGCACGTACCTCTATTGCAATCTCAATCCCTGCCCTGATTGGGCAAGCCAAGAGCACCATCAATCAGTCTCCTCTCTTTCCTATTGTCTTCTTCTGTTCTCTCCCTCCTCCTCCCTCCTCCTCCTCCTCCCTCCTCCTCTCTCCCCTCTCCCCTCTCACTCTCCTCTCCTCTCCCTCTCTCTCTCCCTCTCCCTCTCCTTTCCCTCTTCCTCTCTCCTTTCCTCCCTCCCTTCCACTCTCTAAAAATTAATGGGAAAAATATCCTTGGGTGAATATTAACAACAACAACAAAAATCTGTGATATTTTGGCTTTTTTATTTAGATCTGCTAACAGGAACACCATATTCAATCTTCTTTAGGACGACATAAAATAAAATCTGATACCATGCTCTGACTCTATTGAACATATCTATGAACTCATATTCCTCAGAAGCCAGTGTCACCTATCAATCTTGTAGTACTGTGACCGTTTAAACACCTCTGTTTAGCTTGACTTTAAAGGCCTGCAGCATCTCAGGTAGTTGTATTCAGTACTGGATTAAATGAAAATGAATTGCTGCATTAATAAAAAGAGTATCTTTTAAAATTTCCTTACACATCTGGTAGTTTAGGACTAGCCTTTGAAGAAGATGTACTATGAGGGTAAGTAGGTATAGATATATGGATATAGATATAATAATTTTTCTTCCCCCCCCCCTTTTTTTTCGTATACCCTTGAAAGCTTTCTCTAGAGCTCCTTTTAGGAAACAGATTGTGTAGAACTACAGTCTGCTTCCAGTGTCTTAAAAAACCACTTAATTGGCCTTCTGCCCACCTTGTCATGGTAACTTTTCTATGATTAACTTGTTATTTTGCCACAACGTTAAAGGCATCTGTTAGTATCTACAGTTTTAGGAAGAAACTTGTAGCTTTTTAATTAAATATCTGCTTTTAAAAGGTTTCTAGCTGATTTCTTGAGGCTATTCTTAGAATCAAACTGTAGAAAATAGTAATTCAAATGACATCATCATAGCAATAGCAGTATTTTTCCTTTGAATATTACAATGTACATTTTAAAACATTTCATTTACGTTATCCCAGTTTATCTGCACAAAATACCTGTGAGAACAGGTGATAGAAAGCCATTTTCTGTATTTAAGTGAGAAAAGTGAAGTGATTTGTCACTACTAGTTGGTAGTGGAAATGACCCTAGAATCTGTGTTCCCCTGATTCCAGTTCCAGGCCCCTTTTGAGCAAACCACATATTACTTTTCCTTTCAGTAAAGCAACATGGCCTCATGGTAGAAAATGTTCTGCTGCCTTGCATTCTTAATGCAACCCTGAGAAAGCCAACCAGCCATGAGCTGTTTCACTATTGAATATTTGAACAGACTACCCAGTGGAGAGTACAAAAACACTGAAAAAGGGAAGATTAATTAAGAAGCATTTTCTCCATGTGTCCTATAGGGGGAATTTGTCTTCCTTTGTTTCATCAGGATCATCAGTGCTAGCCTATTGTTTGATGACATATTTCGCCCAACTCTCTCACATTTTAGCTTTTCTGAATGATGCTGAGCAGTGGTACCTATGATTACTTTATCAGAGATAGTCTCCCATTTAAAAAGACCTTTTACCGGCAGTTTTTAGAGTAGTGTTGTGAGTTTTAACTTTTTCTGTACCACAGCACATCTGAAAGGATTGGTGACACACTGGCAATAATTGGCTCACCATGACGGTGCTGCTCAGAGAGGAGTGCAGTAGGGTTAGACACTACAGGAGGCGTTCTCTCTCTTTCGGAGTCACTAGTATCGTTGTTTATAGTATGTGGTATATATTGATGTTTCTGATAGGACTTAAACAGGACCCCACACTGGTTTCTTCAAAAATAATGTGAGCCCTGGCCGGTGTAGCTCAGTTAGCTGGGCATCATCCTGTGCTCTGAAAAGTTGCTGATTGGGTTCCCTGTCAGGGCACGCCCCTCACCCCCAAATGTCATTGTTCACTTTAGTTTTCCTGAGCTGTCTTTCATTTGTAAGTGGGAATTGGGTGAGTTTGTACCTTGTTGGGGTATGTAGTCTAAGAAAGTAATTATTTGTGGGTAGAAGTGAACCAGCACATGAGCAACAGCTTTGAAGTGGTCATGCTCACTCAGGGCTACGAACATTCTTCCTTCCTTTAGGAATTCACACTTTGCTCACAGCTCATCTCAGTACCATCCTCCAAGAGAGCCACAGCGCGGTGCAAGATTCCATCCAGTTTGCCGTGGACCAGGCCTTGGAGCAGCATCACCAGGCTGCCAAGGTAATGAGAAATTCACAGTTTTCTTTCTCCTACTCTCTCCATGAAAATGATAGCTAGAATATATGGTAGATAGGACCTGAGACCCTGTCCTTCCTAATGCCTCTTCCTCTCCTCTTTTGTCCCCTGAGCTGATCGTGTACACTGCATCTAGCCTAGGAACTCAAGCTTGAACTTACATGGGTCACTGTAACTAGCTTGCTTAGCTTTACCCCCAGTAGGTAAGTTTTACTAAATAGGGGTGAAATAATAGAGAAAGTGACTCATAATGCACCCCTGCCTTACCCACATCTCCCTTCCCCACACATCCTTCTGGAGCTACTGCTCCATGGATCTTACATCTGCCCCCATTTCCTAGCCCTTATAACACCACTTTCTCTTACCTTACTTTCTGAATTTCTTCATCCTGTGTACTTTTGGTAACATATTTCTTCTTTTATATGGCCAAAACAACCACACTAAGAAACCAAAGCTTAATGCTTTTTGTTTTTAAATTGGAAGCGTATCTATTTAATGACCCAGTGTCTTATTGCTTGTCTTTTCTGAATGTGTGTGTGTCAATGAATCATCCCTGTGAAATGAGAAAACATTTTTTACTTATTTCAATCCTAAGTGTCCTTTACATGTCATGGTTTCAGTAACTATTGTTGATGGAGGGGGAAGAATTGTGAAATCTCGCTCTGGCTGAAATCTTTGGTCCTTTTGGGATTCTCTGAACCAGCAGATTGTGGTCTCCCCTTACTTGTTATGTTTCCTAGGTTCATCAGAAACTCCAGACCTCACTCTCTGTGGCTGTGAATTCCATCATGAGTATTGTGACTGGCAGCACCAGCTGCAGCTTCCGAAAGATCTGCCTTCAGGCTCTTCAAGTTAGTAGGAGACTGGGGATGCTTTAAAGTGCCAGGGATTTGATGACATTACGCCTGTCTTAGTAATATGTACAGTGCTTTTAGGAATGTTATTGAATTAGATCCTATTGTGATCCTATGTAGTACCAGGCCTATGGTAAGTGCTGAGAGAGAGAGAGAGAGAGAGAGAGAGAGAGAGAGAGAGATAGAGGATCTCAATGTGAGAGAGAAACATCATCAGTTGATTGCTCCTGTACCCGCCCTGACCGGGGATAGAAACTGCAACTTA